AGAGAGAGAGAGAGAGAGAGAGAGAGAGAGAGAGAGAGAGAGAGAGAGAGAGAGAGAGAGAGAGAGAGAGAGAGAGAGAGGAAGAGTGTCGGCTCCTTTCCAGCTGGAAGAGGACTGACTCACTCACTCACTCTTCATGAAGTCCTAGGAGACCATGGGGACCCGGGCTATAGGGGCGGTCACCCACCCCCCTAGAATTCGTATTGGGCCTTATTCGGCGCTTTCCTGTGACTCGCAGCAATTTCACCATTACGACCTACCTACCTCCGAAGGTCAAAATAAAGGGCACCCCTGCAAAAGGGGGGGAAAAAATATAGACTTCAGGGGAAACACGAGAAAAAAGAAAAAAAAAAAAAGGCCACGATAGAGAAGAGGCTGACCGACGTGAGAAGAGCATTTTGAGTGTGAAAATGATGCACGGACTAAGGGCCTCGCTGCACTACTCTCGACATGCACAAAAGACAAAAATCATAGCGGTGCATCTTTCCATATTCTAGCGGAAGATTCACTCTCATTTTGCACATTTCGAGAGTAGTGCAGCGAGGCCCTAAAACGCTCCCCCCGCCCCAAAAAACGGCTCCAAAGGACCGTTTACTTACCAAATCGGGAAAGCCCGGCGCCGCCCACGGCCTCTGAAACTCGCCAAGGTCGCCCGCCCTCCTGCCCCTGCCATGACCGTTCCGCCTACCGGTCTTAGGCACGACGCCGACCTCACCCTTCCGAGATACCCCGACACAACCTCTATACCTCCCTAAAACCCCTCTGGCCGTCGTCGACATTTCCAGAAAAAGACGTTGTCTCGTAGACAAAATGCAACCGGGTATAGCGCAGCCTCCTGGCTGCGAAATAAAAAAGGCCTGAAAGGCCGTCCTGTCCAGATTTCACAGGTAATTGAATTGGTTGGGCCTTTATTAAAAAAAAAAAAAATCTTTTCTTTTTCTTTGTCCTTTTTTTTTTATTTTTTTTTTTATATAATTTGGACCATTTCTCGATTTATGCGTGTCATTCTTGCCCAGCGCTTTTACCGGATGTCCCGAAGGATGTCCCGAAGGACTATGACTCCTAACTCGTTCCAATTTTATCTTATGTCCCGAAGGACTATGACCCCTAAATCGCACAGCGGTTCTTGGAAGACGCTCCCCGCTGGGCCCAAGGTGTCCCAGCGGTGTCCCGTTTTCCCTGGATGGCGTGATCCTTTTTTTTCTGGATTTGTTCTCCTTTTTTTCCTGGAGTCGCTCTCTTTGGTTTACAAAAGTGCCGGGTTTGATCGAGAGCAGGCAGATCTCAGCGTCCGACCGCTTCGGCGTGCGTCGTTGGTTGTGTGTGGTGTGCTGCGGTTGTCGTTCTTCTTCTTCCTCGTGGTTAGGTTGGGTGAGGCCGGCCGCCATATCCTATCTTTGTTTGTAGTCTGTCGCACGTGCGCGGTAGGCAGCCATGGGGAAGGAGAAGTCGCATATCAACATCGTGGTCATCGGCCATGTCGACTCCGGCAAATCGACGACCACGGGCCATCTCATCTACAAGTTGGGCGGCATTGACAAGCGTGTGATTGAGAGGTTCGAGAAGGAGGCAGCTGAGATGAACAAGCGGTCGTTCAAGTACGCATGGGTGTTGGACAAGCTGAAGGCGGAGCGCGAGCGCGGCATCACCATCGACATCGCTTTGTGGAAGTTCGAGACGACTAAGTACTACGTGACTGTCATCGATGCGCCCGGCCATCGCGATTTCATCAAGAACATGATCACGGGCACTTCACAGGCGGACTGCGCTGTGCTGGTGATCGACTCGACGACGGGAGGTTTCGAGGCGGGTATCTCCAAGGATGGGCAGACCCGAGAGCACGCCCTGCTGGCGTTCACGCTGGGCGTGAAGCAGATGATCTGCGCGTGCAACAAGATGGATGCCACGACGCCCAAGTACTCTGAGAACCGGTACAACGAAATCAAGAAGGAGGTGTCGACCTACCTGAAGAGGGTAGGGTACAATCCCGACAAGATCCCGTTCGTGCCCATCTCCGGCTTCGAGGGCGACAACATGATCGAGAGGTCGACGAACATGGCGTGGTACAAGGGTCCGATTCTTCTGGAGGCTCTCGATCTGATTTCCGAGCCGAAGAGGCCGTCCGACAAGCCTCTGCGTCTGCCTCTCCAGGACGTGTACAAGATAGGCGGTATTGGAACGGTGCCCGTGGGACGGGTGGAGACGGGCGTCATCAAGCCTGGCATGGTCGTTTCGTTTGCGCCCTCTGGGCTGACCACGGAAGTGAAGTCGGTGGAGATGCACCACGAGGCAATGACCGAGGCTCTCCCCGGGGACAACGTGGGGTTCAACGTGAAGAACGTGAGCGTGAAGGAGTTGAAGAGAGGCTTCGTGGCGTCTGACTCGAAAAACGACCCCGCTAAGGAGGCGGCCAGCTTCACCTCCCAGGTTATCATCATGAATCACCCTGGGCAGATCGGTAATGGCTATGCGCCGGTCCTGGATTGCCACACGTGCCACATCGCGGTGAAGTTCGCCGAGCTGGTGGTGAAGATCGATCGGCGAACGGGCAAGGAGATCGAGAAGGAGCCTAAGTTCCTGAAGAACGGAGACGCTGGGTTCGTCAAAATGGTGCCAACGAAGCCGATGTGTGTTGAGACCTTCGCTCAGTATCCTCCTCTGGGTCGATTCGCCGTGCGTGACATGAGGCAGACGGTGGCCGTCGGCGTGATCAAGGCCGTGGAGAAGAAGGAGAAGGAAGGCAAGGTGACGAAGGCCGCCATGAAGAAGGGAGGGAAGTGAACTGGTAGCCTGTCTTTTTTTTTTTTTTTAGCTTGTCCTTTTCATGTGGATGAATCGGTGCGCGGGATTCCGACCTGTTTCTGCTGCCGGGAAAGATCCCGGCATCTGAGTGCCGTAATTACGTAATAATAGTATTTTCTGATTCACGTAGAGGCAGCAGCTTTAGCAGCTGATGATGGTGGTTTCGCCAGCGGCGTTTTGGCAGCTGGAGGGACAGCGGACGCGGGAGTATTCGATAGGACGTTTAGTTTTTGTCGTGTTTTCCGATGCGGAGTGGGATTTGGTGATGACAATGTTTCTAAGAAGGGAAAAAAAATCGTTTCGGTGTCTTTCGGCTGACCCTAGGTTAAGGGTTAAGGGAAGACATCTGTCGGGGGGATCCTTTCTCCATCGTTATTCTTATTGTCTTGGAGTTTGTGCTGGATCTGTTCGGTCAGTACGACGATCGGATGGCTATAATTGCTCGATCGTGACAGATCTGGGTCCTCGCTAGGTTAGGACGATCGGATGGCTATAATAGCTCGATCGTGACAGATGTGGGTCCTCGCTAGGTTAGGAAAAGACATCTGTCGGGGGGATTCTTTCTCCATTTGTGCTGCATCTTTTAGGTCAGTACGACGATTGGATGGCTATTATTATAGCTTGATCGCGACAGAGTTGGGTGCTCGATAGGCGATGGCGTGGGTAGTGAATTTGGGTTAATTCTCAGTTTCTTCTTCGAGATTTGGTTTATTCTTTTTCGGATTGCCCAGTAGCCTGTTGAGTTGATTGAACTTGATTCTTTTAATAACTAAAAATGTTCGGGTTAAACCGTTAGGGTTTCGAACGAAACTGCGTTTTTTTTTTGTTTTTTTTTTTTTGTCTTGTAGAGTTTCTACGCACCGAGTGAAACGACAGTTTGTTCTTGAAAAAAAAAAAAAAAAGGTGCCTGTTTTTGGAACCGAACGTCGGCATATCCTGACTCACTCTGTTCGTACTCTGATGATGGGAATTAAAGTGTCTGAATCTGTCCGCGATCCGGGGGCGATGCAGATCGGAAGATGGGCGAAACCCATGCGGCACAAGCCATATGTTTGAACATAAGTACACAGTGTGCCTTGCTCCCCTCATGCACCGACTGTGCAAATTACTCGCCAATTGTCCGAAAATGAGAATGAATAATCCGCCAGAACATGGAAAGATACAGATTCACAGGTTTTTGAAAGTTTTGTCTGTCTATGTTGGCAAGTAGCGCAGCGAGCTCGCTTAACTACTTGCCGTATCCATAAATTCGATGTTCTAGCAGAGGATTCACTCGCGGACTATTGTCTTGTATCTTTTCATGTTCTGGTGGATTATCTTTTTTCGAGAAGTGGTAAGGAAGGCAGGTGTGAATGCGAAGAAGTCTATTTTTTTCCTTTTCTTTTCTTTTCTTTTCTCTTTTCTTTTTCTTTTCTTTTTCTCGTTTCTTTATTTCTTTTCTTTTATTCTTTTCTTTTCTTTTCTTTTTTAACCATGATTTGCAAAATACCCCCGAATGTTGACATGTATGCCAAAATGCCCCTGCAAGATATTGCGGGTAGAGCGGAATGCCCTTTTGGGCCGAAATCTTTGTGTTGCCGATGGCATTTTCCTAACTTGGCTGGTGCCTGGTGGCCCAGTGTGGTGTGAGGGTGTATTGCAAAGATGGGGTGTCAAACCGACACCGGGGGTATTTCATTGGAAATAGAAGAAAAAAAAAAAGAATTAGAGGGATAGAGAGAGTTGCGGGTGTTCTCTCCTATCATGGCGGTCGGCTGTGGCCATGGGCTAAATGACTTGGCAATGTAAATTGTAAGACGACTAGTGACTTGTAATTGTAAGACGACTTATCGCTCTGAGATTTCTTTTTAGGCTGTTCGTAGCTCGCTTGCTGTTTTACATGTTTTTGTTTCACCATAATGATTCCAAATGTGGTTGATCTGCCATATTCCTTTTTCAAGCTGAGCCAGGATCCTAATCTCCTGTCCTTTCCGGTGAGTGTTCGATGGTGAGGTGTCTTATATTATTGCTTGAAGCAACTGGTTACAAACGAGGCGCTGCGGAATCCACAAGATAATAATAATAATAATAGTAATAATAATAATAAAACGAAAGTCTTAGAGGGGCTGCCTAAGGATTTCTTCTTTTTTTCCCGGGTAACCATTCCCTTAACTTCAAGTTGGAGGATTCAAGGAGGAGAGTACTCTCCAGGAGTTTATAGGATTACTTTATATTGATTTGCACCAAAAATGCTGACACAAGTTTCTTTCTTTCCTGTGAGTGTAACAGTTGTGTGATTCCTTTTTTTCATTGCCAAGGATTGACTCAGGGTGAATCCTTCCAATGGTCTAATAATATGCAGAATGCCATAATCCCAATCCCAATATTGAAGTTGTGTGAACTCTTTAGACCCCTCAGGCTGTTGAAAATGGGCGTCGAGCAGGCCGCACCACAAGCCGAACATGGCAGGAAGGCAATGCCACAGCGAAGCACCAAGTAACGCCTGTGGGGCAGCAGCCAAACTCACAGCGCAAAAGCAAACCACATGGAAAGATAGCGCAAGTGGATGGGCAGCAAGGCGACAACACATAGAAGCACATGGCAGTGCTGGCAAGGCAGCCAAACATGGCACCCAAGGGCGAATTTCAAACCATCTGATTTTCAACTAGTTGAAAATGATCGTATCATCTAATATTAGTGTGCACATGTGCGGCGATGATGTGCCTGGAACTTTATGGAAGACGAGGGACGAGGATGGCAGCAAGGCAACAACGTACCGAGATGCAAGGCAACACCGACAACTTTGGTGACAAGGCAGCCAAACTGCACGGCAAGCAGAAGCTGCAAGGAAAGACATGGCTACCGGATATGGGCAGAGCAAGGCAGTGAAGGAGCGCAGACGAGGAAGTCACTCCCAAGTTCCAACACGGACTGAAGCAAATGCACATCTACTCACACCACAAGCAGAACCCAGCAGACACACTTGGTTTCCACCCCACCCTCGGACCAGGGAAGCCACTGTGTCATCGCCCATAGGTCATGGGGTCATGCACCAACGGACATTTCGGACACAGCGGCCAACCACGGACTATTTGGCACTCCTTGAAGGTGCTCACTTGGACATACATCCGCTACAAGGACGTATTACGTAGATATGATTGCGTGGGTGCCAGTGGTCTGAAAGCGTATAGCTTCCCAATCGAAGCTTCTGCTATTATCTGGCTAGTATCCCTCCCCAGCGGAAGTTGAGTCAGTGGCCATTCGGATTAATATGGGTAGTGTGACTCGGAGGCCGAATTACAAACAAGGTATGTTTAGAGTATAATTGGAAGCAGCGCCATCCAAGTGAGTACATTTTTGGACAGGAACTTTTTTTTTTTTTTTTTTGGGATAGAACCTTGGTAAGCAATTGATGGAAAATAAATGGAGGGTATATACTAGAGAGCCTGAGGGAGAGGGGGACTGCGAGGAAATACAAACGAGGGTGGATTATGAGCAGGAGAGTCTGATTCGTACCGAGCATTTCAATCATGAATGCAGACAAGGTAATTTATTGAAGTGTACGGAAAAGTAGGACAAATAAAGCTTTGAGAGGCCATTCTGCATTACCATCAGAGAGAGTGATAGCTCGAGGGTATGTGCATAATGGGGAAGGAAATCTGGTTCATTTGGTTGTCATGCATCGCCGGGATGTACTGGAGATACGTAGAGTCAAAAGTAGATGAAAGAGTTTATCTACTCGGCGTGTATGGCATCAAAGCAGAGAGAATGCTCTACCTGTAGAATCATCCAGAGAAGACTCGGATACTATAATCCATAGTCGGTTAGCACAGAAAAAGCTGGCAAAAGAATGATATGCAAGAAAGAACCTATCAAGAACTCAAAGAGGCAGATGTCCTTCTAAGTTCACCCCAAATATGATCACAGGGAATGATTCAGGAGAAGAACGCTATAGATGATATCATAGCCTAATAACCCCATTATAATTGGTGCTCCTTCCTATTAGAGCCTGCATATCCGCCAATTAATCATATCTCTACAGAGGCAAGAGACCCTCTGCTTGCCACCCACTCAGGGACCCTCTTTCGAACAGCGATTTGTAGTACTGTACGATGTACTCCCTCCGCATCTCAGGACATAGGTGAGAAACCCCCCACTTTACTTCTATGCATAACCTTCGCATCTCCACCCCCTCCGCTTCTCCACCCCTTTAAAAATACCCCCCCCTCCCTGTTGGAACCCGTCATCGTTCCTCCAGGCGTCATTCCCAAGGCTTCAAACGAATCGGCTACTGGCGGGACCTACGGTGGGCGATCATCGGAACAATAGATAGGTTGTGGCTCGGTTGCCCTTCAGGAAACTTGCGGCTGCCAGGAGGGGTGTGGTGGCATCCCCAAAAACGTTTTTCAACCACCTCTTAAAATGCCTCATAAGAGGAGTTAAAAAAAAAACTGTAAGAAAACAAGACATATCCTAAAAATAGAGTTGTACAGGCACTCTCTCGCATAGGCCGCTTCAGAATCTTCTGCGACTCTCTCGCATAGCGCACATGCACGCAGAGAAGGCAAGACTCCGCAAGAGAACAGCATATACCGCTTCAGAATCTTCTGTCACTCTCTCGCATAGGCCTCCGGCGTAAGCGGACAGATCCAGGGTATCAGAAGAGGAGAACAGAGTCACTGGCAATTCCAGTGGAGAAGTCCCAACCCACCATAGTCCTCCAGATACAGACGCTTTGCTGTTGAAGTCAACACCCCTCCAATCGTTGTCCTCTTCTCCCTCTCTGCCTACGGTTTACCGGGCAGTTCTAT